ATGACAGAAATTCAGCATTTTTTTCTATATTTCTTTACTTTTCAAAGTATTTTTAGTTTCCTAAATTTGGATTTAAGATTAGAAACAGGAAATATCTATATTTCATTTGGCTAACAATACAAATATCATTCAAACTGCAAGCTAGACACATTTCCTGTTATTATTGTTTATCTTTTTGGTTGCTACCTGTAAATAAAATAAAATGATATACTGATAGTGATCAGTTGAGATAACAGTAATACAAAATGATAGTAAAGACCAGCATGAATCCATAATAATTGAGGCCAATGATATTTTTCATTTTGAATCATATATAATCTATGAAACTGTATCTGTGTATAGTTTTAAACATGCAGTTCCATGAATAATTTTTGTCATCAAATTCTTTAAATTTTGAATACTAATAAAAGTACCATGCCATTTGTATTTTTTAGTATATGGGAAATCTTAATAAATATTCTGGAAAACAATATACACTTCCAAGTAGGAAGAAAGGTATTCCAGATACTCAAAAATGTAATATGGGACACTTCAATATGCCTATTTATTAAATATGACAGTGGTTGAATAGCTATTGTAGAAGTGTATGCATATAGAACCTATTTAAGGTTAAGCATTTACACTGTTTTATTACAGCAAACACTGCCCTATACTCCTTAGGGTCAAATCCACAGGCATTTAATTTTAGCAATTGCCATAATAGAGGCATTATGGTAATGCTGTAGCATTTTGGGTACACATAGAGGTTGAATGCTATTATGTTTTTTCTTTTTCCTCTCCTTTAATGCTTTGTCTACAGTCTACATATTACTTGGAAAAGGAAGAACTTACACACCTCTTTGTTTGAATATTTAGAACTTAGTTTTAAAGGTTGAAATGAACATCATATGAAAGAAAAATTAATGGGAGATTACAGAAAGGGGAATAATCTTCCATATGTTTTAGGTCTTTGGACGCAAGAGACACATTACAAGACCACATGTACTTCTTTTGAGTCCCATCTTCAAAATTAATGAACATCACATCTTTTATTTTTCCCATAAGAAGGTTTCAACTTGACACAATTTTGTCCACTGATTTATTTTATTATGTTTTTTAAAAAGCATATTTTAATAAGGTGATTGTCTTTTTCTCAGATAACAGGCATAATGACTATCATTAGGGTGCAGTCTAAGATATAAAGTATAACCTCTTAAATTTTTTTTTCACATTTTTTGTGCATTATAGTTGTAAGAAATGGTGGATTTGTTGTTATATATTCATACATGCACAAATTATAATGTTATAATTTGGCCAATCCAATTCTCCAGTATTTCCCTAACCCTCCACCCCCCTGTTAAAGTATATTCTTAAGAATAACCTGAGAAAGAGTACAAAAGAGCAAGTGGTGGAGGGGTTGAAGAACTTAGCATGTGTGAGTTTATAGAAAAGAATATATTCAAAAATAAGGTGATCAGAGAAATTCTTCTTTAACTAAACTATCAACCCAAGTAATGAAAAGCAAGTAAACACACACAGACAGACAGACACAAAAAGTCTCTGGGTGTAAGGTGAAGAACAAACACTGGCAGTCTGTTTTGAAGATTTGGTATTTAATTTCCTACAGACCTTCTCCCAGAATTTTTTCTTTTATGTTAAAGGCAAAATCTCTGATCCAAAGCTATTTTTATCTAGGCTTTTTTTTAAATTTAAAAATTGTATCTTTGAGTGATACATAATTATTATTATACATATTTATGGAGTGACATGTGTATATAATTAGCATATCCATCACTTCAAACACTTATCATCTCTTTGTGGTGAGAACATTCAAAATCCTCTCATGGCTATTTTAAATTATGCAATAAATTATCATTTACTGTAGTCATTCTACAAGTCTAGAGAACACTAAAACTTATTTCTTCTGTTAAATTGTAATTTTGAACCTGTTAACAAACCTCTTCCCATCCTTCACTTCCCATTCCCTTACTAGGTTCTGGTAACCATTTTTCTACTCTCTCCTTCTTTGAGATAACATTTTAAGTTTCCACATATGAGTGAGAACATGTGATATTTTTCTTTCTGTGGGTGACTTATATCACTTAACAGTATATCCACCAGGCTTATCCATGTTTTCAAATGACAGGGTTTCATGCTTTTTATATCTTAGTAATAGACCACTTTTTACTAAGTTCTTTATCCGTTCATCCATTTATAGATACTTAATTCAATATCTTGGCTATGGTGGTTGTGTTGCAGTAGACATGGCCATGCATGCAGGTCTTTGACATACTCAGTTTCATTTAGTAATACCATGATTCTGATCACTGAAGTATCACAGTAGTATGTTAAGCTATCCTATTATATAAACCCTGGAGAAACTCTTGATCCAGGCTATGCATTAGAGTCACTTGTGAAATGTTTTTAAAAAATCAAATGCCTGTATTGAGGACCACTCCATTAGTTTATATTACAGGAGTACCTGATAAGCTCATGATATCATAGAAATCTACAAAAATATTGATATCAATTATGATCTTCTGCTAGTGAAAGGCAGGGCAGAAGCATAAAAATATTTCTACTACCCTTAATGGAGAAAATAGACATGAGTAACGTGATTTCAACTGGGTATGATCAAGTAAGCAATATTTATAGAATAGAAAAATAGTTTTCTTCTATCCTGTGAGATAACAAGCTTCAGAAGGAGTCATTGCCTGGATTCATTGTCAATTTTGAGACATCTAAAATGTGAAGTTATGCAATATCAGAATGCTTCCCCTAGGTCTGTGTTAGTAGTTCTAAGTTAGAAACTTCATAGTGGTCTTGACTATAGTTCATCGTGCAATCAAAAGACTTTTTTTTAATAAGCAAAAATATTTTCCGCACTTCATATTTATGGTAGAAAGTGAGAAAATATCAGTAAATAGTAGTAATAAGAGTGATATCAGAAGCAGAAATAACAGCATTGCTGTCTTGTTGAACAGACTTTCAGACAAACATATTTTTTGGTCTGAGGTTAGACTCTGGAGACAGATTGCCTAGTTTTGAATCCTCACTTTGCCATGGGCTAGATTTGGGAAGTTATTTGCTTTCCTATGCTTCTATTTTCTAGACTATAGAGTCAGGGTAATGATACTATTATCTCTATTGGATTGTTATGAGGATTAAATGTATTAATATATACATAATGTTATTGAAATAGCAGCTTGCACATAGTATACATGATAGCTATATTAGGTTAATAATACACAATTAACAAATATTGGATAAAGTCAGTTCAAGCAAATTAAAATTGTTTCCATAGATTTCAATGGTTATTAATTAATCTATGGATTAGCTGCTTCTTTTTTGACTGTGGGATAAGCACTATACTCTGCATTAACTTCTTTAAAGATAGAATAGTCTGTTATTCATATTGTATTGCATTTTATTTGATCAACTATGTAGTGGTACACATTAGACATTTTTCTAGTTTTTAAAATATTATAAATAAGACAACAATGTAGCTAATTATGGGTACACATCTATGACAGATTTCTAGAAAATTTTGGGTTGAAAAGTACACAGATTTGAAAGGCTTTTGTCTTTTACTGACAATTAACATTTAGGAAGGTTGGGTCAGTTTTGTCACAGCAGCAGTGAATGAGAAGGGAAGGCAAAGATTTTTAACAAGTGCAGTTGATTGAGCCAAAAGGAGCTTTGGGACAACTTCAGAATTTCATACAAGATGTGGCATTAGAAAAGAAAAGCCAATGAAAATCTATCAATAAGTCAAAATGCTCTAAAATATTTTCATTATGGTGCCAGTAGAATACTTGATTATTCAGCATTGGGGCCCATGATAGGTTTTTAACAGTTGTATTACCTCATAGGGTGGTTTTAGGTAAGTACATATCTACATATTTGAAAATGAGAAATGAAAAATCCTATTGTTTGACTTAGTGATTGTAGCATTCTTTGTATTTTTATATTAATTATCAATTTTGTATTGTTTGTGCTGGATTTTTCCATTTTAACGGAGAGATTAGCAATTAGAACATAAAGGAAAAAAAGCAAAATTCATTTCTTGGAAACTAGGTTTATTTTCTAAAGCTCCCTATTGTCTGTAATATTGATCCTGTCTCCCTCTCTCTTTTGTGTTCCTTCTAAATTAATTAATAAGAGCCATAGATTTTTTTCTTTCAAAGGGCAATTTTGATAATCAATCAAACTATATCCTTCTCATCCTATGTTAAATATGAAAAGACAACTCAGTAAATACATTATTGGAGCCATGTAGAAGTACAAAGTTACAACTCTACTTTTTAACTAGGAATTTTAAAGAATGTAGTATTTACTACCTATCTAACAGGTTAGATTTAAATGATACCAAGTAAGGCTTTTCTTTATTGGATTCCTTTGACTCAGAAAAAAAAATATGAGTAATTTATAAATTATCTAAGTATTTAAAAGTTACATGAGAATAACTTCAATTTCTTATTCATTGTATCTAATTTTATCAACATTTAATAAAAGTGGCACTTGTGGATTATTGAATGTCAGCAACACAAAATTCACAATTACATAACTGAATGGAACAGTAACTATACCCTTTTCAGTAATATACAATATTGGTTGGGTTCTTAATTTCTGACTTTAGTCTTCTAGGCTCGTATTTTAATACCACTATTGTCTTAGACAAGGTCAGAAAATGTAGAAATACAAGAAGAAATACAAGCAAATGCAATCTATTTTGAAGATTCAGTATGTAATTTAACTTCCTACAAACTAACTCCCAGAAATTGTTTTATCTCAAAGGAAAGTTTCTAATATAAAGCCATTTTTATCTGTTAGTGCTGCTGTTGATGTTTTGAGTGTAAAAATTTAATTTAGAAAATGCATGGAAACATTCAGCATTATTTAATAGGATATAGATATTCAATAAATGCTAGCCATAGCTATTGCAGTGAAATGTAGGGAAAAAAAGAAAAAAAAACTACAAACAGGTTTGCATTAGTATCATGTGTTTCCTTTCTCCACAGTTGCTGCTGATACCGAATCCAGAAAGGTGAACAGATTTCCCCTCCTAATAATACAACCATAGCAACAGCAGCTGTGATTGAGGAGAAAGCAGAATAACATCTCTTCAAGTGGGGACTCCCTGATTCTGCAGGCGTTATTCATTATCTGAAGGCTGTGAAGGAAATTGATAGACTAAGAACCTTGTCTGATTCTCTGGAGATAGGAAAACTGAAAGACATTCAATAATAATTTTGCTCATTAATCTTTAGAGGGGCAAGCCTCCATGTACCTTCAAGAGGTCTTCTGACAATAGGGTCTTGCAGTATGTTGTTATCTACCTTACCTTTTATATGTATTTCTTAGGTCTCTAAGAGGGAGAAGGTTAAATAGGGAATTGTGTTTAGATTGGCTTGACAAATAAAACAGTCCATGATATAAAAAACAAAACAAAACACAGTAACGTATAAAAAGATTTCCCAACTCATGGTTCTGTAGTAATGTGTTTGTATGAGTTTTTAATATTACTGTCTGACACAGCATAATGGGTTCAGAGGGCATCTCTATTGACTTGGATGAAGGAAACCATGCCATTTGAACTTTGTAGCACCTCTGATGGATGGAGCATGGGATTGAAAACTTATCATTATCTTTCTTATAAGGGCATATGATATTGGATAAGTTAAATGCACCAAGATAGAAGTACAAATTTCACCTTGCACACTTAAAGGCCTTCACAGGAATTCGGAACACTCTCCTGCTGTAATATAACACATGTTGCACTTTTTGAATATGGATTCAGCAACATCAGTCTTTTGATACACGAGTCTTTAATTCTTATGTTAGAATGAAATGTTAGTATAAAATATATAAATATATTTTGAAAAAGAATAACTCTCTTTAATTTTTTTGTTGATTAGTTGGTTTGTGAGTTTGGGTGTTTTGGATTTTTTTTTGTTGTTGTTCTAGAATTTTTACTCTTTCTTGACAATAATGTCCCATTAGACATTCTCTGTGTACTTTTCTCCATTTATCAAGATATTTATTTTCTCTGCTGAAATGAGATTAAATATTTTTAAACATTTTATTGTTGATTTAATAATATTTTTAAGGAAAGAGTCATACCTGTGTGTTATTTTTTTAAAAATGAGATTTTAGCATATGATAGGCATAATAATGTCACTCTCTAATCCTCATTATGTAATTTGACTTATTGAGAGATATTTTTCAATTCATCATGAAGAACAAATGGCCTCGAGTTTTATGTTATATGGACTGATGGAATTTAAATTTCAGAATGGAGTATTCATTTTTTAAACATGGGGCAATAGGCTTGTTTTTTAGACCATCCTAAAGGAGTAACACCTGAGAAAGTAATTAGAATTTGTAGTTAGCATGTGCTCAAGAATGATTTACATAATTCTGATATCATGAGATTTTCCCTGAGAGCCTTTTTTGTCTTGAGGTGATTAATCAGGTGAATACATTAATTTGATTTCATCTAGAGAGAATATTTGAAATTGTAACATATGAAACATTCATTTTAGAACTGCAAAGTTATCTAATTTGACTCCTCATTACCAAAGATCTTTGCTTATTTCCATTAATTGTCTGAATGACAATGACCCTAAAACAACAGAATTCATAAGCCCTGAGAGCTATGTCTAAACCATCCCTGTAGGTTATGGCTTGCTATTTTTTTCTTTCAACTGTAGATTTTTAGCAATATATTTCTTTTTATTGTGTTTAACTGTAACTGTATTTGCTGTATTAAGAGAGACAGACAAACAGATGGACATACAGGGAGAGAATGAGAGAGAAAAAGAGTGGCAGAGAAGGGATTTTTCAGGTTTCCTAGCAGTTAATTTCACCAACTCTAAGCAATCAATAAGATAACAGGTGAGGAGGCTATAGAATGTTTATTCTCACTGTACTCAAGGTTTTCAAATTCTCTTGTAGGACAATCTGAATAGTCAAATATTTTTCTTGGGTCTTAAAAGGTAATTTACTATAGGTTGGGAAATGGAAGTGTTTCAGATTTTAATTTTTAAAAATTTTTTGATATATTTGCATATATATATGAGATATCTTGGGGATAGTACCCATGTTTAGACAAAAAATATATTTATGTTTCATGTATATATTATTTACGTGGACTTAGAATAATTTTATGCAATAGTTTAAGTAATATTATATATGAAACCAAGTTTTTTTTACAGTGAACTGCCAGAAAATTGTCACTATCTCAGTCACTCACGTGGAGAGTCTGTGGTTTACCTGCAGCATCACCATCATTTCTGACTCTGAATTTATATACTACTAATAAACAATAACATCCTTACATAATTCACACATAAGTCTTTAATAGCAAAACAATGACATCCCAATAATAACTGAAAAAAAATAACATGTTCAGTTATTAAGCACCACAGCAGCATGCTGTGCCTGGGAATCTGGGTGTACTCAGGAGAGATACATGGCAGCAGCAGAAGGGTGAGAGAGTCTTCTTTCCCCTGGGAACACTGACAAAACTTGTGTGGTAAGCCTGCAACTTGACTGTTTTCTTTCAAATGTGGTTGTGGTGTCATGGTAGTGCTGGAAAAGTTTCAGATTTTAGGGTATTTTGGATTTTGGATTTTCAGGTAGGGATACTAAACCTGTACATTCTCAAGAACTTCTTCCTTTATTAATATTCCTGACGAATTATTTTAACTGTAAATTGCTAATTTATTTTGTAGCTTTCTAATTCATATGGTATAATTAGGTTCAGGGACAGTGTTTTGTTTTTTGTTTTTTTCTTTTTGCCAGTGTAATAGAGCAGCTATTGGCAAACTTTTTCATTGTGGTTGGTACTTGGCAAGAACATGTTGATACAAGTGTTTTATGAGTTTTAGTTAATACAGTCTTTGTTTTTGGGAAATGGTGTTGCTATAAATGTTTTGTTCAGGTAATGAATTGGAGCACAAAGAAAATTTTCCTGAGATCTCAAAGCTATTAAATGACAGGGCTGGAATTCAAAGCCCAAACAGTCTGGCTTCAGAGCCCTCAATCTTAACTATTATCTTAACTTTCTTTCCTGAATAAAGGGATAAAGCTGATTTTTTTGTAGTATGTAATGCTGGCTTCTTATTTAGAGATACCTTTAAAGTGATCCCAGACTTTACTCTGAAGTTGATACTCCATTCTTCATTAATGCCACTCAAATTCATGATCAGATATCCTCGGTATATATCCTATCTTGGGGTAGCACATTTTCTTTTCCATGGACTCCTGTGCCTGTGAACTAGTAATACCTCATTACCTAACACACTTTCCTGTATTGATGGAGAGCATGGGCAACATGTTAGTACATTAAATAGTAATGATGGATAAACAATACTTGAGAGTAACATGAAGGCTTAAAATTGCTACCAGATGCCAGCAGAGTTCTGAGAGCTCTAGCATTTTAAATAGTTATTGCTATTGTAGTTGATGAAGTAGTTTACTGATTTCTTGATTTTACTGTGATATTTACAGGATTCCATAATATGGATATCTAAGTTTATTGATTCACTTGTTTTAGATTGCAAATAACTAATTAGATTTACTTAGGATTTTTCTTCTTTATTTGATCAGCTGCCTTAGATTACAGCTTCAAGGAGAAAAACTCCTTATCCAGTTTTACTTTCTTTGATGTAATCATTGCCAGTACCGAAATTTGTTTTCTAAAACTTTAATCCATGAAAGGAAGAAATGAAAATCCTGGTGAAGTAGTTGGGACATGGAGTTATTCAGTATAATTTGTTTTCATTATTTATCTTCACGCGGTTCCAAGCAGGTTCTGTAAATCTTCCTTAGCCTTCTTTTCCTCAACTGTGAAACAGAAATGATTTCATGGACATTGTTAGGAGGATTTGTAACTCCTCATGCCTCTGACCAAAGGAGGACATGGAGAAGGACCCCTAATTCAGGCAATTTCTTCTTGACATTTATAGGCTCTTCTTCCTTTTACTTTATGTATGTCATTTTACTGAGGACTACAATGTATATTACTACCCAGTGTCTAGTTTTTATTTCACATTTGGTGTGGTTTTGAGTGCTCTTCAGCTAGCAATTTGGACTAGTGAACCAAAGAAGAGCCTGTGTGATATAGTATAGGATTTTCCAGACTTGCCTGCTAATAAGTATCATATAGATTTCCAGGCCCTTCCTAGAGATTCTGAATAATTTGACCAGGAATGAAATATAGGAGTATATGTCTTAACCAAAAGTCTAGATGATTTTGGTGATAATGTTAGCATGAGAAACATGGAAATAAACAAAAGACTTGGTAATCTGAATCAAGACCCCAGTGCCACCTATCAGATGTGTGCTTATTTAACTTTCTGAGTCCTAGTTTATAACTGCCTAGTACAGCTGTCTGTTTTGCATATGGTGTCCAGAGTAAGCATACATTAAGTGGTCAGTTTCTTGCTTCATTGATGCACCACTTCAGTATTTCCTAGTGTTGGACTGGTAAGATTTCACAACTATCTTACAGAATGGCAAACCTTATGTTTTCTTATTTTTGTGGTATAAATATACTCACCATCATCACTCTTAAGCTACCAAATTCTGTTACTGAATGCACAGTTAGGAAAGAGATGCATATATCCAGCTCTTATGAGCTGGAGGAAGCCATTCCTTTGAACCTAGCTTTACATCCAATAGCATTATCTCTCCTCCTTTCTCCTCTATCCTTCCCTCATCTCTTTTTCCCTCTCCCCCTTGTTTCACAGATAACCTCTGTATTTTGTATCTGGCCAGATGAGCAACATAGATCAAAATTTAGACAACTTGGGGGGAAAAATGACTGTCTTGCAAATAAGTGTTTGATACTTGCATTTGAAATTTCCAGTACTTCCTATTAATTTTTCCCTTTATCTCATCTTTTTATAGATTCCTTTGTCTTCTGCTTTTAGATTAGCCTCTTAGTTTCCTCTTTATATTATCTTTATATCCATGACTTTATAAGTATGTTTATATTTACATCTTTTTATTATCTTTCTTTCCGTTGTTTTGATCTAATACATCATTAGGTATCCCCTATTTAAAATAAAATTTTAAAATTATATTAAAAAAACACCATGACTGTCTCAGAGTTTCATTGAGTTATATTCTTTGACAATTAAAATTCTTAATAGAATAGTTAGTTTTTTGTGTTCTAATTTCCCCACCCTTAATTTTATCTTTCCCTCTACAATTTGACTTCTGCTTTTGCTACTTTAGTGAAATTGTTTTTGGTAATGCCACAAACTACCAAATATATTAGGCACATAAAAATCCTTCTACTGCTATTTACACTGGCAATCCAAATTTCCATGACCACTTTTCTCTTACCCATTTCTATGCACATAATTGGTCTGTTTGTTTTTTAGCTTTCTAAATTTTTATTTAGACTCCGACTTATCCGTTGGAGTTATTCATATGGTATTAGTGGTTCTCAAATTTTAACATGAACTAAACCACTTTGAGGGTTTTTAAAACATGTATTGCTGAACCCCAGAATTTCTGATTCTATATACCTTAGGAAATGAAAATTTATTTTCTGGGTGATCCTGCTGCCCTAGGAACTATACATCAAGAATAACTGTTCTAAATCCATCTTGAATTCCTATTCTACTTTTCCCAACTTGGTCTGTACTTTATATCTGGGTTTATTCTTGTCACTAAATGTATTTTGTCTAGATGAACTCATCTTTTTCCATGATTTCAATGGATTATACTGTCTAACTCTAAAAATGTTTACCTCTTTCATCCTCAAGAACAACTTCAGATTAGAATAACCAACTATGTGCTGAAAATCTCCTATTAAAAATTTGTAAGGAATGTCTTGCCCATGGACAGGCAGTAGTGGAACTGAAATTTGAATCCTGTCTGTTGCATTCAAATGCTCCTGTTTTAACCACTACCCATAATCAGCTGCTCATTTCTTTTATGATTTGCCTTGTTCAAATCTGGGAAGATGAAGTCTTCTGCACCAGAAACCCCCAACTCTATTTTCAGGTCCAGTTTCTCTAGGAGGACTTGTTGGACTCAACATATAGTTGTATTTATGGTCATGATTTATTACAGTGAAAGTATACCAAACAAAATCCATACTGGCAAAAAGTAAATTGAACCTGGTTTAGATGAACCCAGGTACAAATTCGTATTTCCAGTACATTCGCACAACACATGCTTAATCTTTCAGCAATGAGTTGTAACTATGCTCAGATAGAAGTTCTTTGGATATTCAGTGCCCAGGGTTTTCAGTGTAGTCTGATAACATAGCATAGGCATCTGTTAGCTTCTCTTAGCTCTGGCCAAAATACCTGACATAAAGAATGTAAAGAAGAAAAGGTTTATTTTGGCTCACATGAACAATGGGTTTCACTGCTCTGGGCCAGTGATAAGGCTGAACATGTGGTGGAGGAAAGCTATACAACTCATGGCAGCAGGGATGGAGGGAGGGAGGGAGAGAGGGAGGGGGGAGGGAGAAAGAGAGAGAGAGAAGGGGGAAAGAAAAGGGCCAGGGACAAGATATAGTTCCAAAGATCATGCCCCAATGCCTTCCTTCCTTCAAACATGCCCCATCTGCCTGCAGTTTCCACCTCCTCCTAGAAGGCCATTCAGCAACCAACAGATTAATCTACTGATGAGATCATAGCTCTCATGATCCAATCAGTTCCCAAAAGCCCTACTTCTTGACATTGCTGCAGTGGGGACCCAGCCTTCAATAAATGAGCTTTTGTGGGATAGTCCATATCCAAACCAGCACTCCTTGCCTAATACATACCAAAATTCTAGTCTATAAGAAGGACACCAGTGTTCATCATAAATAATTTTGCTTAAAACATTTAGGCACAGTGAACTATACTTATCAAGACATATTGGGAATTGTTCTGAAATCTAACTTACTAGAAACCAGGCAAGGAGCAAACTGTCCAGCAGTCCTTTGTAAGAACAGCAGTCTCAGGCCTGTAATGGTAACTCTTTTCTACATTCCTTCTACAGAGCTTTTTTATGTATATATTTTCTCATTCCATCTTCACAACTGCAGCTGAGTGAGGCATTTAAAAT